ATATATATAGTCTTAAATCGAAAATAGTAAAAAACTATTATTATTATAATATTAGAATTAGAATAATAAAATTCAAACAAAATAATAAAGTGTTATTAGAATAATAATAAATAAATTGTATTATAAAAATGTAACATTTTAAAATAAAAAAAAATATATTCATACATACACATATACTAGTGTTTAAGTCTTGCTAGATGTTTGTTATATATAACTAAAATTTATAATAAATTATGTATATAAATAAATATTATATTTAAATATAAAAATTATAATTAAAATTTAAATAACAAATAATTTATATTATAATGTAAAATTATTAAAATTTAATTTATAAATAATTATAATAAATAAATAAAAATTTCAAATAATTCTTAAAAACATCCTCACACAAAATAGTTATTTATGTTTGATATACAGAGGTTGATATATATACATATATTACTATTGTTGTAACATTTTTATTTTTTTGAAATTATAGAATTACTATTATTTTTATATTTTCGTTAATAGTATTTTCTATATTTATTATTAGTGTTATTTTATTTATTTTATATTATTTAAATATTATCATAAATAATTTATTATTAATTTAAATATATTTATGTTATTTTAAATATTTATCATAATAGTATATCGTCGTTGTTAAGAGATAATTTTTCTTTTATTTTAGAGAATTTGAATTTAAATATGTTTTATATCCCATTAATTATATAATTTGAAATGATTTTCTAAAATTTTATCTTTTACACATTTTTCCATAACGTTATATATTTTGATTTAAAAAATATTTATTTTCGTCAATTTAAACAATTCTTTTTGGAAAATTAAAATTTTGATATTAAATTAATCTTAATTTTGAATTTAATTTATAAAATTTTATTTATCACACATTATGCAATAAATATTATGTATCTTAACAGTTTTTTATTTAATATTTTGACATAAATATATTTTTTTATCTTTTAAATTTAGATTAAATTTATTTTTGATTTCTCAAATTTAAAATTATTATTTTTAGTTTCAGTAATTTTAAAAAATCTTGTTTCGATCTCTCATGCTATCAATAACATATCTAAAAATGACAAATTAAGACAATTATACAATATCAGTTAAGTTTAATTTGATATTTTTATTAATAGAGACACTAGATTTTATGTAACAATATTTGATATGTTCTCTAACAAAATTTGAATATAATAATTAAAACAAGATTTTTTGAAATTATAAGCACTAAAAAGACCAATTTTAATTTGAATAACGAAAAAGAAATTTACCTAAAACTTGAGGGACTAAAACATATTTAAACCTTATATGTTTTTCACAAATTTAAGAAATACTTATATCTTTAAGTAATATTTTGAAATTTTCTTTTTTATAATATTATTTTATTATTATTTTCTATGGAAAATATTATTATAACTTATTATAATGTGAAGACATTATTTTAAAATATTTATTATATTTATATCACTATAATATTGATATATAATTAATTTAATTATTATATACAACATGCAATATAAATTTATGTATATATATACACACAAAATAATATTTTGTAATAAAATTTTATTTTATATATATATATTTATTTAATTTTTAATAAATAAACATTTTAAATATATGAATTTTTTTATCATTAAAATTTATAATAAATAAATATTATGAACATATAAGTTATAATTTTAGACATATGAAAAATAATTTATATTTTGGCATATAAGGTTATTTTTAATTATTTCTTTAATATTAAAATTTAATTTAAAAATCCTTAAAAGGAAAAGATAAGACATTAAGAATTTTTTTTTAAAATGATATCACTAAAAAATCTCTAAAAACGTTTCAATTGAAGAATGATTATCCTATGGACACGGACCCCTTCAAATCTCCAATAAATAATGAAAAATAAGGCTTAATACTCCTTTGGAGAGAAAATATAATTTATCTGCTTCAAATCTCAAAAAGTAGTACATGAGATTCTAGGGAGGGATGGTAAATCATTTGTATCCTCAATGATGTATGGCACAATCAAGAGAGGTGCTCATTGTGATTTTGAGCTCAAATATGGCCATGAAAAAACAAGAGATTTAAAAGAAGCTTTATAATATTTATTAATTTTAATTCTTTAACATGTTATATATTTTTTCAATGCTTTGACTAATTGCCCGAAAAAAATCTTATTAGTTTAATTTAATTAGTTTATTCAACTCAAATATTAATAGCATGCAAATTGAGACGATGCAAGGAATATTTATTTCATGATAATTAGTTTAAGACGTCTGTTTATTATTTATTTTCTCATTCTAGATTTTAAGCCTCTCGTATTAATGTAAGCATGTATTACGCTCTTGAGTTATGTTTTTTTCTTTATAATAAAATAAATACAACATTTTGATTTAAATTTACTTGTTTTTGTGATTGTATGCATACATGATCTTACATAAGTAATACCTTACTAGAGTGTTACATTTTCGAATTGGACATTGGAAGATTGGTATATTGAAGGTGAGCTTTTAGTTAGATGTGATGGAGGAGATCACCTTATTAACCACAATTCTCGAGCTTAGAAATAAGGATAAATCATATGCATCCGATAGCAATTCCATAAAATTAATGTTTGTTACCAATTTTGCTCACTTCAGAAATTATAGTTCTTAATTACAAATAAAAGATTTATTGCGGATTGAAAATATACTTAAAATAGTGAAATTAAATGTTAATCACGTAACAAGGAGGAATTTAGAAGAGAAAGATATTTCCTTTCGAAAAAAATAAGGAGATTTTGACACCTACTTGTTTTTACTATTAATTAAATTTTAGAAGCATTCTTCTTTCTTTCTTTTTTTTTTCTTTTAAGGAAAACAAAATCCTAAAAAATTTTGATTTTCTATTTACTCTCAAATCAAATGAGTAATACCAATAAAGTGTAGTATGGTTAATAAATAACTTTGTTCCTTGCCTATGTGATTAAGGGATTCAATCTTTAATGCATGTGTATAAAAATACATTTGTTGACCATTACACTAATTAATTATTTTATTATTTTGTCTTAATCATGAAACTAACTCTATCTTTTTCATTCTTTAATTTTTTTTTTTTATCCCTTCCCTCCCAATTATCTCCTTTATCCCCTAGTTTTGGAGGACCTATAGCCTTATTATTACCTTTCCTTTTCCCTGCAACTAAACAAAATCTTGAATTGTTAGTCATATTGAAATATATGTCTGAATTAATTTCAGCCACAAACATTTTAATGTATGATTCAATACCATAACATTATGATTTTATTTCTAATGAAAGAATAGCCACAACGGCTGGGGTGACTTGGGATGAATAGCAATAACCACCAGGCATCTCGTAATAAAGTAAATAGACCTTATTTAGAAACTGATAATGGATTCCTGTTTACATACATCAGATTGCTCCCAAAACTAGTTTTGTTAGATGATTAAATCCAACCTTGGGCAAAAACAACTCATATCAAAGCAAGGAAATGAGCATCAGGATATACATCAAATTTATCTCCAACTAATGATTGGCTGTAAAACTCTACGAATCATCTTCGCAACTTATCATAAGTCAAGATGTTTTATAACAAGTTTTTATAAACAAAATATATTATCAAAAAGAAAAGGAAAAAAAAAATAGTATTTTGCAAACAGATGGCAAATAGTATCCAAACTCGAGATGTTTTCATCTTATACATCATCACGATTTAACTCATTCGAAGATGACTTTTTGGTATTTTACAAAGTGCAGTATTTGTGAATCATCTTCACAAGCCGTCATATTATCGAATCATATTCTGCAATTGGCAGCTGGACAGGTTGTATAAGAGAAGAGAGAAATAAACAGAAATAACTATGTTAATATAGTTGAATCATATTCTGCAATTTATAGCTGAACAGGTTGTAAAAGAGAAGAGAGAAAAAGAAAAAAACACAGAAATTAATATGTTGAGTTAACATAGTAGCAATGTTCCAAATCAAATGCAAATCTAAATTCAATGGCTGCAGAGACAAAATTGGTTGAGGAAATACAGCAGAAGCAGCCCAATAGAATAGCATGGGCAGATGGACTGATGGAGTATAACTCTAGAGCAAGAATAAATGCATTACTCTCTACTTCTACCCCTCAAAACCCAAAAACAGCCTGCGTGATGTTTTGAGTAAGAAAATGGAAGTGGATAATTGACTAAATGACCAACTTGAGGATAGCTGGCAAGGCAATCAACACTTTGGGGTTCTTTCAAAACTATTTGCCCAAGTGGAGTTGTTTTTCAATTTTTTTTCTTTTTCCAGTTCATGTGGACATTGGTGCTAGTCGCCTAGTCCATGTCAACAAAGTGCTTGTGCATTATGTCAGATTTAAGCAAAATTGAGCAGAACCAAAACTTCTATATTCCAATAATGGATCTTCCTTCCATTATTTGAAATCATTAATTGCATCTCAAATGAAAGGTCACTTTGTTTCAACATAAAAACATCTGTTGTGATTAGAGCCCAGCTACTAGAAAAAAAGTGTCAGGCAAAGAACTGCTCAACCATCAATTCCAGTCGAATTATAAGATGGAATAATTTACATACAACATAATAATTATTTAAATATCATGTGCCATTGCAATTTCATCATAATTTCCATGGATCACACACTCTCTAATGAATTGCGTGAAGATTTAAAAAATAAAGAAAATTGATTATTTTCACCAACACAGAAAAATACAATCCCATTGAGATAAATATTTTCAAACTAACCAAAATTAGTAGTTAGCTAACTCTGATAGGTCATTTAATCACGGATAGTTAATCATATGAGGTAGCTCAGTGTGTACTTACTACAATAGACAAATTGATTCAGATCAAGAGTAACTCTGCCCTGTTTTGCAGTATCAAATGAATGAAATAGATTCCTGCAAGAAATAATAAAAGATCCTTATTATAATGCAAATAATAACATAAAAATTCAATATGGGGTTGGAAAAAATGGTGTCCTGCCGGAAACATGTGGTTTTCAAGGATTTTGTGCAAAGTGTGAACATACCGTGCTGATTGTAAGAATATACAGATTGATATGAAGTCATCCAGCCGAAACTTCCCATTTTTACTTTGATCGAAGCTCTGAGAAGAATAATAAAAAGTTAATTTAGCACGATCTTCTAAATTGCAATATTGCATGCATGAATGGCCAACCAAGGTTAACTCTAGGTGGCAAAACAATGACAAATAAATTATACGTCTAACACATTGCATTATAGGATTTTCCATCTCACTACCAATATTCAAGCTATCATCCCAAGAAAGAAACAAAAACAAACAGGATATAGATCTAGTGTAAAAAAGAATCTTGCCATAATTTTGACTATAAGCATTGATTGTGATGCACTTCTCCAGCAAAATTTAGTTCATATCTAAACTATAGAGATGTTTTACCTCACAGACAGAGTAAAAAGCAGGAGAATCCAGCATGAAACCAATTTTGACCAAAGCCTACAAAAATATTTAGGAATTCGTCAAGATGAGTCGCAATAGAAACGCTTGTGGTATAAGCAGAGTTTTGAAGACTCTCATCATCAATAATATTCTTATATCCTGGAAAAGGAAAAAACATGTAATGCAAGACACCAATGTAAGAGAAGAACATCCAACATTCTTCAATAAAAGACCTTAACGTTTTGTTTGACAGCTTGGGGAGTGTTTTAAGAACTATAAGCTCTGCTAGGTGGACTGAAATAGTAACAGTAACTACACGGTATAATTTAGAAAATTGTAGGAATAATGTTTAAAAATATACCTCGAATACATCATCAGGTACAAGAAAACCACGACCCCTGCATCAATGAAGCTAGCAAGTGTTAGGACTCATCCATCCCTCATGGAAGGCACACATGTATAATAAATTATGTAATTATTTAAATCACAACTGTTAATTTTTTAGTCAATGACTATAATCCCACGTTTTACTCTCTAAAGAGTGAATCCCTCACTATATTGCTGTATTTTGTGTCATCTAATTACACTATTCACCAATATTCATTGGTATTCTATCACATAAAAGGTATTTATACTTCAGAGGTAATACTAATAGGTCCTAAGAATATTAAGATTCAAACCACCCATACTCCCATGGTTTATGAACCTTGATATTATTAGTTTCTTTTCCAAAGGGTCGCCCATCATTTAATTAATCTCACTAGATGTAAATAATATAGAGGAAATTATTTATAAAAAATAGACATGACACGGAATCGCATAATCTTAATTGGAAAAAAAAAAAAAAAAAACTCACCTCTCTAGATCAGAAAATGCATGTTGAACCTGCAAAGACATTTAAGTAGTATAAGAATACACGTGGTAAATATCAAATGGATAACTTGACCTTATTGATTATAATGTGATATACCTGCAGAAAAGGGTGCATTCGAATTATGAGAAAAAAATGAAGGATAATAATTGAGGTAGTCTTACAAGTTTTGGGATTTGAAGGCCCAAACGAAGGCAATAATAGATTACAGACATGTGATGACTAGTACATTCAACACTAATTTAGCACCAGTAAAAGTACTAACCTTAAGAAGGAACTTGTTGAGTGCAACAAATTCTGGGAGAAAAAAATTATTTGAGGATTAGATAGAGGGATAAAATAATTTTTTTGAATTAACAGACAATAATAATAATAATATAATAATAATAAATAAATAAATACATAAAAGCAATTGAGTAAGAAGCATAAGACACACAAATTCCAAATTGGGTGTGGTATATTGGTAGAAAGCTTGTAAAAAATATTGTTTAGTTACAGGAAGAGGGCGTTTGAAGAAAAAAGAAATACGTTGGAGATGATAAATGGTAACTGGATATGGAATGAATGCATAGTTCATAGGATTAGGGATAGTGAGAATGGCATACCTTCAAAGCTCATAGTTCCATTCCTGTCGAAATCGTGCATCCTGTAGTATAGAATGGAAATAAGTGGAATTAATTAAAATAGACAAGAGGAAGAAGAAAATGGACCTGATCATCTGCTCAACCACTGAGAGTGGAAATTCCAGGTTGCCCACACCTAGAGCTGTCTGAGAACAATAACATCGCATCGCCACAATTGGAAACAAAACTAAATTATATTTACAAATTCATCACAATTCAAATTCAAATACAAAATCAAACCAAACTACCTTGAGCTGCACCGCTGTTATACTTCCACTTTTCTCCGAGTCAACTCGGTCAAACCATTCCTGTAATATTGCCCTATTCTCCATTCTCTTTCGTTTCGCGGTTCGCCTCACCTTGCTGCCCACAAATACTTACAACGAAATCAAACGGCGTCGTTTTTATATATTGAAAATGCAAAATAAAAATAATTCTCTTTGTTTTTAAATTATATATATAAAATATAAATAAAAAAATAGTGCGAATATCAATATATGAGGGAGGAGGAAGGCAGTCCCACAGAGGCAGTGTAGAAAGGAGACGTGTATTAATTTGATTGTAATTTGTTTTTTATTTGAAGAGGGGCAGATAGAGGAGACTGGTCGGAGAGGATTGCGATGCGAAAAGGAAAAGAAGGGTTTCCTTTCTTGAATTGCTTGCTGCCGAGACGATCCAGATAAGGTTAAGATTTCTTTCCCAATCTATTCGATTCGACTCGTGATCTGAATCTGTGCCCTGGATCATCAATTTCATTTACCCTATTATCATTATAATTATTATTCATGTGATGTGATATGCATATTCATATCATTTCCATTCATCCAATCTGTTGAACAGAACAGGTCTCTGAATTTAGCTATACTATACTATTACTGTGACTGTGACTGTGAGTGAGTGGTCAATGAACAACAGCAGCATTCTCAGCCAGTTGATTTCCTCGCCTCCTGCATGGGCAACTATAATCGCAGCTGCATTTCTCGTCCCCACTCTAGCTCTCTCCATGTATCTTTTGTTCGAGCATCTTTCCGCTTACAAGAATCCCGAGGAGCAAAAGTTCTTGATTGGGGTTATCCTAATGGTTCCCTGCTATTCTATTGAATCTGTAAGTTAAGTTCATACACATGTTTTACATACATATTGTTATATCTCCACTCACTTTCCTCTTTCCCCCATCCCCTACCAGTTTGTATCATTGGTCAATCCTTCTATAGGCGTTGATTGCGAGATTCTAAGGGACTGCTACGAATCCTTTGCCATGTATTGCTTTGGAAGATACCTTGTTGCCTGCCTCGGCGGCGAGGAAAGGACCATTCAGTTCATGGAGAGACAGGCACCTGCTTCTCTTAAAACCCCTCTTCTACAACATTCTTCTGACAAGGGCACTGTCAACCATCCCTTTCCTCTTAACTACTTCCTTAAACCTTGGAAACTCGGTTCCGGCTTCTACCAAATTGTCAAATTTGGCATTGTTCAATATGTATGCCATCTCCCACACTCTTTGACTCTCTCCAACCCCTTTCAGATGATAATCAAGGCTTTCACCGCTATTCTCGCTGTAATCCTTGAAGCCTTTGGAGTCTACTGTGAAGGAGAATTTAAACCAGCATGTGGGTAAGAAATTCTCAAACTGCTCTTTTACGATTAATGATTTGTTCAGTCATATTACATAAATCCGGTTTCACTAGAACAGATAAATGAGAAAGCAAATAGAATTTTTGAAAGAAACTTGAAAATCTTAAACTTGTAGGGAATCAAGAATATCGGGCTAAGAAAAAAAAGAGAGGAAGAAAGTTTCCAATCTTGGCAAAGCTTATATTATTGTATTATATATGTTTTCTCTTAGATATGCCATATAAATTTGTCCTTTGACAACTAAATGTCTCTAGCATTGAGCTGGTGTACCCTAGAGTGCCAGCATAAATTGTAATCAGTAACTTACCTATTCAAAAATGTTCTTTCTGTTCTATAATATTTTAAACTAGAGAAATGCTAAATCCTCTTTAAATATTAGCTGATTAATCCTCCTAAATCCTAATTACTTAAGAAGAGGAAGGTGAGGGCTAAAAGGGAAGTTGAGACTCTCAAAAGTATTAAATGCACGTGCAATTTCTGTCTTTCTTTACTCCATATGTAATTAGGAGGATTGTTGTGATGATGTATTTAAAATCCTTAGATTTTATTGGATAATTTCTCTGAAGATTTGGTTTTAAAGGAGCCGAATAGCTTTGTGTAATCCATGTAGCTGATTTCACCTAGTGAAATAAGTTTATTTATTTATTGTCGTCATGATGTGTCTAGAGGATTTAGCATTTCTAGATTCTAATGATTAGGTCTGCATGTGATTTTCACTGATGCTGTTGTGGATTACTTGCTCGCAGAGGTGTTGAATTGAATATATAATTATTTCTGATTTTGGTTGTTAAAATTTCATGTTTGTTATCTTCATTTTAAAGTTTGTGTAATTATACACATCTAGTGACAGATAAAGGTTCTCGAGTTATTTCTGACTGCATGAGCTATCTGCTTCATTTGTAGGTATCCTTATGTGGCAGTGGTTCTGAATTTCAGTCAGTCATGGGCTTTGTACTGCCTTGTTCAATTTTATACTGTCACAAAGGAAGAACTGGCTCATATAAAGCCATTGGCCAAATTTTTGACATTTAAATCAATTGTGTTCCTCACTTGGTGGCAAGGTGTGGCAATTGCTCTCTTATGCACCTTTGGTCTGTTCAAAAGTCCCATAGCTCAAGGCTTGCAGTTCAAGTCAAGTGTCCAAGATTTCATCATTTGCATTGAGGTAGATGTCCTTCACTTAAGTCTAGCGTGCACTGTTTTATGGCAATTGCATTAGGAACTGTAACAGCATTTTCATTGAATGTCCAATACATCTGTCATATCTTACAACTGACAGTTGTTAGGAAACATTTTGTGCAACCATGAACCATGATTGACTGAGATCCTGCTCCAGAATGCCTGGTGAACATGGTCTGCAAAATGAATTCACTCTTTTGATCATCATCTTGGTGGGAAGTGAATTCCGCTATTTGACCATGGGAATTTTCTCTAGATGATTGATGTTAATTATCGCCAATTGACCTGTCTAAAGCCTATAGATTCATGCCACAATTATCTTTGTGTTGCATTATTATACTGTCACCAATGTTTGATATAATATGATTGTTTTGCATGGATCAATGTATTTGTTGTAAACCCCGACTTGTAAACACTGATGAGATGTGGTTCATCAGAGGATTGATCATTTAATTAATCTTAATTATGATCATCCCAATGTCATGGGATGATAATATGCTACACAGTTTGGTAGTTCATATTTTATACTTTTAGTGTTATGTTACATTTTGCATTTATTTGTTTAACACAAAAGCTCTTGGGCTCGTACACACTGTTTCTTGAACTTGTACTTGAACCTTTTTGGACTCATAAGTACATGTTCAGCACTTCTTATCTTTATGTTTTACATTTTTATGACTGCTTCAGATAAGGGGAAGAATAAAGTTTAACAGCACTTTGTATTCATCAAGCACAGATGGGCATTGCTTCCGTAGTTCACCTGTATGTGTTTCCAGCAAAGCCTTATGAGCTAATGGGAGACTGCTTTCCTGGAAGCGTTTCAGTTCTGGGAGATTACTCTGCTGACTGTCCTCTGGACCCTGATGAGATTAGGGACAGTGAGAGACCCACAAAACTGCGGCTTCCTACACCTGATGTTGATACCAAGAGTGGGATGACAATTAGAGAGAGTGTTCGTGATGTTGTTATCGGTGGTGGTGGATATGTAAGTTTCTTAGTGTGCTAATATTTAAGCTTGTTTCTTTTTCTCTTGGCATGTGGTGAGTCAACAATGCGTAAAACCTGCTTTTCTAGGAAAGGCAAGGAAATTATATTATTCTCTCATTCTCTGAAAAATTAAATCCTTTGAAGTATTTATAAACTTGTCATAAAGGGATTAGGGACTAATTGGTAGTTACTCAAAAATGAAACAAACTGTCTCCTTGAAAATTATTCTAAGGGAATTAGGTCAAACATTTCCCTTTAGCTGTGGAGGTTATAGCACCATATAGAAGAACATACTTCTACTGTTTTCAAAATGTCCAAGTACTGTGCATGTTTTGCCAAGGGTCAAGGAAAATAAAAAATGGGCTAGGATGGTCTGCTAGTGTGCCAGTGTCACCATATATGTAGCAGTCCTTTTTATTGAAGACTTGATTGAGACACACCAAATATGCATGCATTATTTTTTTATTAAAAAATAGAGTAACACTAGATATGTGATAAGATTAAGATCTTGGATAAAATGAAGGAAAATGGTATCATAAAGTGAGCTGCACTTCTCAGAAATAATTTTTTCTTTGCTTATTTACATTTTAAACCCCATTCCTTCCTATTAATTTATTTTCTAAACATGCCAGCAAATATGACCTTTTTTTGTTGTGACACATATATCACTTATTAATAGTCTTCAGGACATATATGACTTCAGGACAACAAAAGAGTGAAAACTTCTTAAGTTATCTTTATATTAAGGTGTGTTCACAAAAGTTGTGAAAATTATATTGTAATTGATTATATGTATTATCGATTATAAACGGAATGAATTTTAGTTTTCGTATGTTTGCTGAAAAACAATTTTGAGGTATTTAATTTGTTCAAAAACAGCAAAAAAAACCAAGTTTTTATGTTGTAAATCAACTTCAAGAGGAAAAAATAATTGTTAGAAAATAATTATAAGCTTCAAATTTTCAAATTTATGAAAACAACTTATTTTTCAGAGAAAAGACTGTTTATAAATTTAAACTGTTGTCCTAACCAATTAGCTTATTTTCCAAACTACTTTTATTTTCTTCGTAAAAGCAGCTGAAAGTTGGGAAAAAAAAAATCTTTCCCAAACACACTTAGTAATATACAAATTTGGCTTATCTATCTCTAGTGCCTTTTCAATATTTTATCTGCTTCACCCTTTCTCTTTAACATTCAGATTGTAAAAGATGTGAAATTCACAGTCCATCAAGCAGTGGAGCCTGTGGAAAAGGGGATCACTAGATTCAATGAGCAACTACACAGAATCTCCGAAAATATTAAGAAAAATGACAAAGATGGAAGAAGAACCAAGGATGATAGTTGCATCGTCTCATCATCACCTGCAAGGAGAGTGATTCGGGGAATCGATGACCCCCTCTTGAATGGTAGTGTCAGTGATAGTGGACTATCAAGGGGTAAGAAGCATCGCAGGAAATCTGGATATACAAGTGCAGAGAGTGGAGGAGAGAGTAGTAGTGATCAAAGTTTTGGGGGCTACCAGATTAGAGGCCGTAGGTGGGTTACTAAAGAGTAGCCAATGATTTAGTGAACAGCTTATGAGGAGGAGGAATAATTTGTTACATTCTCAGGCTGACTTTTGAAACATGTTTGGCGCATGACAGTTCTGGTTGAAATTTTTTTTATATATATCATTTCTCCTCGGACGAAGTCATGATATTCTTGTGCCATTACTATGATGGGCCTTCTGTATTTGTATAGAGGTTTCTTCTGGCAGCTTCTAATGCTTTGTACCAAACAAGAAATTTGCAGCAGTGCCAGAATAAGCCAGTGTTTGTCGAGGGCAATACGTATTTGATGCTGGGGCTTTTAGTATTTCTAAATGTCAATGTTAGTGTATGCGATCAAGTGTTTAGAGAAATGCGCGTGTAAATATATTTTTATCAAAAGAAATGTCAGAAACAAGCTTTTTTTAACACACTTTATTATTAGCCAAGTCTTAAAAACGAGTGTGATGCTAATGGTTCTTTTACTCATGTAGGGAGTTGATGGAACATGTTCGCATTAGAGTCTAGAAGATGGATGAGAGAAAATGAGAAGAAAAATAAATGGATAGATAATACTATTATTTTTCTCCCTATTGATGGGACACAGCAAAGAAAATGTGGGAGGGAGAAGAAAGAAGTTGCTTGCCCTTGTTTATGCCTTGGTTCGTTAATGCTTATTCAGTTTCACCGTCTCATCCCTTTTCTTCCTTACCTATTCAAACTGATACAATGCAATACACAGCTCGTCGTCGTATTCTCCCTTCCTCCTTTGGCGTGCTTTTGTCTCGTCACTGTCCAACTCAACAAATATAATAATGCCATTGACAATGATGTCTAGCCGAACTCTTACATCTCCTTCAATCAAGAAAGTGTTCACTAGATAATTGCGATTAATCAAATCTCTTCTACTGGAAAGGATTGATTACAAAAATCCGAAGTCATTGTGTTCTCAAGATGGCCTGGGGCTCGTGATTGATTTCAATGCAATATATCGCGAAATGTTTTTGAAAAATATTATCTATATACATTCTTTACGAGAGTAATGATGGAAATTAAGAAAGCATTTAGAAAGCCTTCAATATATATATATATATATATGATTCTTATAAACTTACTGTTCTGAAAGCTGAATGAGACCGGTTGGAATGGGAACTCGTGCTCACCCCGGACCAGTTTGTTCTTTGGATCGGAAAATATTTATACCAGTTTGTTCTTTGAAAAATATTTATGATTCTTATAAATATTTTGAACGGGCCGTTCTGGTTTCAGAACGGGCCGTTCTGGTTTCAGATGTATTCAAGTATTTTGGGCTTTATCTATGTGGCATCTACGTGACATCCACCTGTCATCCACGTGGCCACCAGTTAACTCCGTTTAAATCATTTGGACGGAAGTCCCAAATTGCAATGATTTAAATTATTGGGGACTAAATTAAAACCAAAAATTAAAGTGGAACTAAATTGAAATAAAAAAATATTATAAGGGACCAAAAGAGGTATTTAACCTACTATAAATGAACTGGTATGTTACCAATATCAATAAATCAACATTTTAGCTATCAACTTTGACAATAAAAGACAAAAAAAAAAATAAAACGTTTAAATTTTACTAAAAAAAATCAGAGACAAAAAATGAAAAAGTGTCAAATTATAGAAATGAAAATTATATTTATATCTAAAATTAACTAGTATTTTAGTTCTTGGCAAAGGATAAATATTTATTTTATAAAATTATAATAAATAAACATTTTAATTTTTCTTTCGCTGTTTTTTATTTAGGGGTCATAGCTACGTATAGGGATCATAATTCCTATACGCATAAACGTTTCTAGTTTTATTCAACCACAGTTAATTCTTCGGCACATTTTTAATTTAGACATCTACATGTAATAAGGTATTTTAATTTGTTCCATATATATAAAGATTAAATAATTAATGCGCAAAAGAATTAATGGTTAATGTAGGACAACAGTTACTAGATGGTTAATGTTTACTCGTATACTCAAATTAAATTTTCTACATTTATAAAGACTAAATTAGATATTTACCGTTTTATCAATTAAGTGATTGGTTATAACTCTTCAATCAATATAAATAGCATCGTTAAAGTCGTATTTCTAGGCTATATGTTTCAATCAGCCGTCCTAGGCACACAACAATACTACGAAGATAATAGGGTTAGAAAATTTGACAAATCATATTTTTTTATTATTTTATAAATGAATAATGTCTCTTGATTTTATATTTGATTAATCTAAGTTGAAAAATTAAGAAGGGTGTATTGAATTCAAATTTTATAAGCTTATTTTAATACGAAAAATCTAGTGAATTTAATATATATATATATATATATATATAATAATTTTTAAGTTTTTTTAAACAACTTTTATGACCAACATTTTGTAATTTGAAAGAATTTTATGAGATTTTAAAAAATAACAAATTTTTAAAAAGCAAAGCAACTAATAAATAAATAAGTGGTTTAAATATTTTTTTATCTTTTAAATTTAGAGTAAATTTATTTTTAATCTCTTAAATTTAAAATTATTATTTTTAATCTTTGTAATTTTTAAAAATCTTGTTTTAGTCTCTCATGTCACTAATAACATATGTGAAAGTGATAGATTCAAGCAATTATATAATATTAATTAAATTTAATGTGATGTTTTCACTAATAATGACACTTATAGGTAGGTTTTATACGATAGTATTTGACAAATTTTTTAACAAAAATTTGAGTATAAAGACTAAAACAAGATTTTTGAAATTATAAAGATTAAAAATACTAGTTTTAAATTTGAGGGACTAAAAATAAAATTATCTTAAATTTGATGGACTAAAAACATATTTAAACTTTACTTTAAATATTTTTTTATTCCCTACAAAGTTAGCATATTTTGATTTTCATCTTTGTAAAAAATTGTTTGATTTTCATTCGTATAAAATTAGAAATATTATTTTTAGTATCTATTTTTTATATAATCATTTTTAACTAACTTTTATTTATTATAAAATTAAGTGACCATCTTAGGTATCATCTACAACTATTGTGATATGATATCGATGTTTGATACATCTAAAAAAAATTATAAATCCATAAAATAAATGTTATTATCTACCTTAAAATGATCATTGGCTACTAAAAGTAGTTAATTTAAATTTTAGAAGTGTAAAAAATAAAAATAAAAATTATTTTATAGGAATTAAAATAAAAATTTACTAATTTCACAAGAACTAAAAACAATGTTTATAGGTGTTAAAAAATGATGTTTATAATTTTTTAAGGAAAACCAAAGAAAAAAATTATAGGCACCAAAATCAAAAGTTACTCTGTTTACATGAATTAGAAATATATTTAAGTCATAAAAAATAACATAAAATGATAAAGATTGAATAAGAAACAATAAAATCAATACAATTTTTTTCAATCTTTTAATAAATAATTGAATCTAGCTTCACGTCTTAAGTAACATTTCTCCATATATAAATCTCCATGCATTGACATTTTTACATTCATATTATTAAATTTTTTAATATTCATTAATTAGTAAAACTATCAAATTTGACTTAACTTGATAGATTGACTCATTAGCCTACTAGGCAAAATCAAGTTGGGTTATTTATTTTCAAACTTGCAAAAGAACTAGGCAATTTGGTCCAGCCTAACGGGCCAATCAGATCAAGACGAGTAAGTAAAAATTAGGCCCGAAAGGTACTAGGCCTATTTGCTTCGATGTTATTTTTACTTTTTACTTTTTACTTTTTTCCTTTTAAAATTTACATATAAAATTATTAAAATAAATAATTGTTTTTGAGTTATATATATATATATTAATTTAATTATGTTCAAGAAGATATCACATATAAATAGTGAAAATCTGTACTTTTATAATTACATACTCTTAAGGTTCTATCTTTTATCTATTTCATCGTACGTTTAAAATTTTGAAATTTCAATATTAAATTTTATTTAAAATAAATATTAGTTAAATTTTAATAATTTAAAAAAAACAAAAATTAATAAGTAATATATCAATATTAATAGATACAAAAACATAGGAGAAAAATAGAGAAAGAAGAAAAATAAGAGACGAAATAGAAAGAGAAAGAGACAAGGAGGGGTAGAGAGAGAGGATTGAGGAGGAAAAAAAAAGGAGAAATAGAAGGAGAAAAAATCAAATAAAAAAATTGACATGAGATTGTTGGATGAGTAAATTATAAATTATACTAAAAAATGGCTTACAAAATCTAATATTGGATGCATTGCATGCTGGAAATTTTCTAAATTTCAAGTAGAATGAGTAAAATGGTGAGGCTATTATGTGCACCATCGGTGTTAGTATGATGAAGAGAGATACAATATTTGATTAAAAAAGTGAAAATAAAAATAAAAATATAATAAGTTGATATATTATTAGATAATAATAATAAAAATATTAAAGTATGATAATTATAACATGTACTAGAAGAATAAAAAAAATTAATAGCAACTTGAAGAAATTATCGTCACAAATAATTTAACATGTTCACAAACCTATTTTTATTTTCAGCACATGTTATATTGTAAAATAAATTTTATGAGATTAGTGGAGTAATATCAATTTATTTTCTATTTTCAGTAAATACTAAATATATGTGTTCCAGATGGGTTTGAGTTGGGATACGGCACAAGTTCCACAAAATATTTAGAAAAATATAACTTGATCCAATAAATAATAATTGCTCAAGTAAAATGGTTAATAAGATATGCTCGCGAAGAAGATGACAAAAAATGAATTGAAATGCATGTGACGTATATAGGTGGCTTTTAGCCCCATAAAGGAAAGAAATCCCTGTCCCGAAGCTACCGGTGTGTACTGCATGTTGGAGATTTTATGAATTTCAAGTAGATTGAGCAAAATTATGAGGTTATTATGTGTAGATTTTATTATTGTATTGGGTGCACTTTCATGACATTGAGTGTAGATCAAGTCAGGGGTCCTTTGTCTCACATTCGTCGAGCGTAGGATTGTGGCATTGAGCATGAAGAGAGAGAAAAATCTCTAACTTAGTGATATTGAATGTAACTTGAATGGCGTTGAACATGAGGGAAAAATATTTTTGACTTTGTGATGTTGGTCCCTAGTTAAGAGGCATCCTTTGTAATCAAGATAGAGACTTTCTACCTATATGACATCAAGTGTCAATTTAGTCACCAAACAAAAACTCTATGTCTGAAATGGGGCCAAGCATGGGTTTAGTCATGCTAAGCATAAAAGCAACAGAGGCTTTCTATCTCAACCACATTGGGCGCAGGTTGAGTGGCACCAAGTGTGGGTGAGCTTGAGAGTTATCTGTCTCAATGACGCTTGGAGAAGGAAGAATGATGTCGGGCTTGAGTTGAATTATGAAATCTTATTGTTTGATTGAGAAAATGGTGAATAGGTTAGTTAAATATAGTACATGTTGCATGCTAATATATGTTGTTAGTTCTTTATATATTGATCTAGGATAATGTATATTGATAATTAAATTGTTGATAGTTGAATGTTGTTGAATGGTGTTGGTTCTATATGCATTGGTCTAGGATAATGTCTATATATGATTGGTTTTGAACTGTTGAGGCAATGGTGTTGAGGATGTTTGAGGCATTAAGGCATTAAGGTGTGTTGTGTTCATTGACTTAGGACTATAAAAAATGTGTTTTTCTAAAGTTAGATATCCCATTATGAGGGTATTGGTGTGGTGCTCTACGAGTCCAGTTGTTGAAAGTCTTTCTTGAACAATTGACTCTTGAAGTAGATAGTTAAGTCTCTTCTAATACGTTAGTTGATGTGGTATGTGGGTAAAGTCGAGGTATACCAACCATAAGTTACCACAATATAGGGGTCAAGTCGAATTATATTAATTACAAGTGACTAATGTTGATCCATATGTGGGCAAGGTCGAGGTATACATGTATAAAGAGACAATTCGAGTAAGGTACAAGGTCGAGGGTCAAAATCCATAACTAAGTATTGGAAGGGTGTAGTATTTGGAGGGTAGTTGATGAGTTAGTTTCATAGGGGCTTAGTTATGCAAACTATTGTCGTGGTAGGTTCACACCCAAACTGTGATACCTTGAAAGGAATACTAAACTTCCTTGTTTAAGTGGCCAAATTCAAGAAACCATGTTGTTATTGATTAGTATCCAAATTGGTTGTTGATCTAGTAGGTGTAAAAAGATCGTGTTGGTTAGGTAAGGTTAAGTCACTTAGACTATTCACCCTTGTTGTAAGAGATCTTTGTAGGTGAATGTGTAACGACAGATGTAGTTGAAGTGTTATACATATAATGTGGTGTTGTGGCGTTGTTCATATGTTATGTGGATTTGTATGTAGAATGATATGGTTGTGGTGTAAGTTGAAATGATTAAGTTAATTATCTTCCAAAGTTGTTTGATGTCATGTTGGGGTGTTGTTTATTTTTGCTATGTTGTAAGCCATAAGGTGTATTATGGTATGGTTTGCATGTTGTTAAATAATATAGTTGCACTTTGCTTCTATACTTGATATATGTTTATTCATTTGAATACTAGTTTACCTTTGCATGTTGTGTTGTAATTGGACTACGATGATCATGTTTAAATGAGAGCAAAATAAGGATATGTTGGAGGTGTTGTTTTGTGAGGCCATGCTAGTGATGATAGAGCTGGTCTTTTGAGGTTATTCTAATACGTAGCTATTATAGTTGAATTGTTTGATCGACAACTTAGGATTAATATTCAATATTGGATTTTGTACATATTTTATATACTTGTGTAGTTATTACATAATTTTCTTCTACTATGGGTAAGTGAACCATTAAGTGTAAGAATTATGATAGATCGTTATAGTCTTATAGACATCATTATGTATGAAAAAATAAAATATATAATAAAATCTCATTTATTACCACTAAAACGAGATAGATTGAAATAGAGAAAAAAAAATCAAGATATTGAAGAAAGAAATTAAATTTAAATTTATAATAATTCAGGTGAAAAATCCCTATCTTTGGACCATGTTACTAATGGGACATCCGTTTTTAAGGGAGGCAGTGAGAAGGGAAAAAAATGAAAAATGTAATAAATATAATAAATAATTTGATTAAAATAATACAAAGATGGAAGAGAGTGTGGTATATATTTGTAGAACCATAATTACGTAATATTATTTTCTTCAAAATTTTTTATTATTTTATGTTATTTTATATGGAAAAACCCTTATAAGTTACTAATTACGTGGAGGAAAAATAATAATTTAAAAACTCTAAGAAAAAAATACAAGTCATATTTTCTTATGCATAATAATTAGTATATTTTAATTCAAACACTTGATAAATTGTCTACTATGTCTATGAACACGTGTTAGTATGATGAAGAGAGATACAATATTTGGTTAAAAAAGTGAAAATTAAAATTAAAAAAATATAATTATTAAGTTGATATATTATCAAACAATAATACAAAAAAACATTAAAATTATAACAATAATAACATGCACTAAAAGAATAAAAAAAATAGCAACTTAGAGAAATTATCGTAACAAAGAATTTAACATGTTCACAAACCTATTTTTATTTTCAGCACATCTTTTATTGTAAAATAAATTTTATGAATTTAGTAACTCTTCAATCAATATAAATAGCACCATTAAATTTAAAGTCGTATTTGTAGGCGGATATGTTTCAATCAGCCGTCCTAGCCACTCAACAATTAACACGAAGATATAATTGGGTTAGAAAATTTGACAAAATCAATTTTTTATTATATTATAAATGTGAAATGCCTCTTGATTTTATAAATAATTAATCTGTTGAAGTATTAAGGAGGTTAATTCAAGCACTTGATAAATTTTCTCCTATGAACTCATGGCTGTTAGTATGATGAAGAAAGATACAATACTTGATTAAAAAAGTAAAAATAAAAATAGAAAAATATAATAATTTAATATATTATTAGACAATAAAAAAAGTATTGAAGTATGATAATTATAAAATGCACTAGAAGAATAAAAAAAAAATTAATAGCAACTTGAAGAAATTATCGTCACAAATAATTTAACATTTTCACAAAACTATTTTTATTTTCAGCACATAAATCATTATGCTTATCCTAACTTGTCCTCACCTAACTTAAGAAGATATGCACGTGATGATGTAGATGAAAAAGAAAAAAAGGAATTGAAATGCATGTGACTTATATAAGTGGTGGCTTTTAGCCCTATAAAGGAAAGAAATCTGAAATCCGTATTGGTATTGGTGTGTATTGGGTTTGGGTGCAATGAAGAAGCAGGTAGGCATCATAGGTGCTGGAATGAGTGGCCTCCTAGCCTGCAAATACATGAGAGAAAAGGGTTTGGATCCAATTGTGTTTGAGGCCAAGAGCAGCATTGGAGGCGTTTGGACTAAAACTCTCCACACCACCAAACTCCAAACTCCCAAACCATTCTATCAGTTCTCTGATTTTGCATGGCCATCTTCTGTCACACAAGACTTCCCTCACCACCATCAGGTCCTCGACTACATTAAAGCTTATGCACACCACTTTGACCTCCTCAAGCATATCCACTTCAATACCCATGTTCAATCCATTCACTTTCACTCTCAAGACCCTGCTGCTGAAGCCTGGCATCTTTGGGGTGGAACCGGAGAGCCTTTCAGCTCCAAAGCAAAATGGACACTCACTGTCCACAATACCCAAAAGGATTCCACTCAGCTATACACCGTAGATTTTCTGATTCTCTGCATAGGTCGCTTCAGTGATGTTCCCAACATTCCTGAATTTCCGCCAAACCAAGGACCAGAATTGTTCAGAGGCAAGGTCATACACTCCATTGACTACGCCTCCATGGATGCTCAGATGGCTGCACAGTTGGTCAAAGGGAAACAAGTCACCGTGGTTGGATTTCAGAAGTCTGCTCTCGATATAGCAATGGAGTGCCAAGCAGTAAATGGTACCACTGGCATACCATCTATATTTAGAAATAGAATACACTTTGTTATACGCATGCAAATGCAATTATATTAATTTAGTGCATTTGCAATTGCAGGGGTTAATTATCCATGCACAGTCCTGTACCGGACAGAACACTGGAACATTCCAGACTACCTTCCATGGGGCCTTCCTCTCACTTATTTGTATCTTAATCGTTTCTCAGAACTCATGGTTCACAAGCCTGGTCAAACCTTGCTCCTCAGCCTCATTGCCACTCTTCTTGCACCTCTGGTACTTGGTAATTTACAAATCACAATATTAATTTACCATCATTTTTGTATTTTAATTAATTACTTTTTCCGTTCAGAGATGGGCATTCTCGAAATTTGTTGAAAGCCATATAAGATGGAAGCTTGGATTGAAAAAGTTTGGGATGGTACCAAATCATAGTTTTGATAAAGAAATCAATTCTTGTTTGATCTCAACGGTTCCTGAGAAATTCTATGAGAAAGTGGAAGAGGGAAGTATCGTGTTAAAGAAAGCTCCAAGGTTCTGGTTCTGCAAAGAGGGCATAGTGATTGATGGAAAAGAGTCGTGGCCTCTGAAGTCAGATTTGGTGATATTAGCCACAGGGTTCAGTGGTGACAAGAAGCTGAGGGACATTTTTGTGTCTCCCACTTTTCAAAACCTTATAGCTGGCTCTCCAAACGCAACCGTTCCACTATACAGGTGAGATTTGAGATGGTAAAAGTAAAATATTAGATGATCATGATCCTAAGAGTAAGAGTGAATTAATTGTGAACATGTATATATAATCTGCAGGGAGTGCATACATCCAGAGATTCCGCAACTGGCGGTGATTGGGTTCTCGGAAAGTGCTTCTAATCTGTATACCTCAGAGATGAGGTGTCGTTGGGTTGCGGCATTTCTGGATGGCACATTCAAATTGCCAAGCATTGAGGAGATGAAGAAAGATGTGGAGAAATGGGATGAATATATGAAGAGATATTCGGGGCAATACTACAGGAGGTCGTGTCTAGCTGCCTTGCATATATGGTACAACGATCAACTTTGCAAGGACATGGGATGGAATCCCAGAAGAAAGAAGGGATTCCTCGCTGAATTATTTCAGCCTTATGGCCCTTGGGATTATTCTTCTTAATCTATATCCACCCCTTGCCACTTTAATATACTATCTATATCTCTTCATTCATTCTACTCACAGTGATTTAATGCTTGTTCTGCTTTTGCCACTTAGCATAAACCTTATTTTCTCACTATCAAATAAATTCTTCAATCAAATCATTATTCTGCATGATCTAGTGTTAGATTTCTAAGGATTCATTCTGCAAGTTTGCGGATCGAATCTCACAATCTATATATATTATTATTTTTGTAGTCAGTGAGCTGTGTCTTATTCATTGTCCAAAAGATTAAAAAAGACTAGCGATAACAAACGAGAGGTGATACCAATATTGATCGATAGATGTGGTTGCAGCTTCTGATGACGTGTTTGATAAAAATAATTTATAAGTGAGCTGAAAATTTATAAATAAAAAAGTAAAAACTAAATGTATGTTTGGATTATAGTTAAAAAAATTAAATTGAGTTAAATTTAATTTTTTTAACTTAAATTTTATTAAAAGTGAATTTAATCTAACTTAATTTATGTTTTAGATACTTTTATTTTAAAATTACCTTTTATCAAAATAGAAATTTCTTTGAAAAATAATAATTAAAAGTACTTTTAAATTGGATAAAAAAAAGTAATTTAAAATTTTTAATTGCTAAAATTAGAATAAATTTTAATATAATATAAATATTATGTATTTTATTATTATTTAAGTTGTATTTGAATTGGTAATAAATTATTATTAATAAAAAATGATGATAATATTATAAATTAAAACACAAATAATATTTAAATACTTTCATAACAACTAAATAACGCAATGGCTCAAATGATAAAAAAATAAAAATCAACATTATTATTTTAAGTAAAATATAAAAAATATAACAAGTAAAAAAATATGTGTTATACGTGACCTGTTAACGTAAAAGCAACAACATGTTGCTTTGATTGAAATGTCGATTGAAAGAAAAGTATCATTCAACTTAATAGATAAAACAATATCCAAACAACTAGATTCAATGTTCAATGACATGTGAACGCCCATTTAAGCATTTTAATGCTAAACCAAACATACCTTAAAAAGTGAAAAATTTATAAATTAGATGATTGAATTAAAAATATTTGATAAAATTAAGTGATGAACTAATTAGTAAATATAAAATGACATAAAATAATTTTTATAATAAAAGTAAGAGAATAATATAATAGATTAAATAGTTTCTAAACTAAGAAAAAGTAAAAAATAAAAAATTAAATAAATTAATGAAAATTAAAAAAGGGAGATAACGAGTTAAAAACTTATAAATTATAGATTGTTTTAATTAATTAATAGAAATAAGTTATAACTTTCTAAAATAAATTTGTATAAACTTCCGTATTAAATAAACTTATAAGTTCATAAAATGTGTTATCAAACATATTCTATATTTAAAAGTTCGGATCTAATTTTGAATATCGAGTAAACTTGGTTAAAAAAATAATTACTTTGTGCATATTCGACATAAATTAATCTTCTCTTCTCTTGTGAAAGGTTTTAAAGATGCAAGACTTATAGACGGGGAAGATCTGATAAATAAAGAAGTAATAAGGGATGCTACAAACTATAAAATGTAAATTTGAACAAATTTTAAGTAATAATAAAATTATATTTGTAATATTTTGTTTCCTTTTTGTTATTTAGAAGAATGTTAGTTATACACTTATTATTTTACCATAATACACCATACAAGTCTTGTTGCCTATTTAATAAATTTTATTTGGAATTATGAAGCAGTAATAAAATATGTTAAATGGTGCTTTTGGGAAAAGTAATATTTATGGAGAAAGAATTTAGAATAATTTTTAAAATAATAATAAGGGAAGGGGTAGAGATAATAGATTGCATTGCATTGCAGAGAAGTAGTGATGGGGAAATGATCCGACGTGGAGGAATTATGATCAGATGTGGGAAGAGAGGAATAGAAAGAGAGAGAGAGAGAGTGAAGCATCCATATTTTGTCTAAATCTGAATGAAGATGGCGCTGGTGAACACGAAGGTACCTGCCCAACTGCAATGGCGCAGGAGTGTAGCACCCACAACCACAACAACAACGCTGGCGTTTACCAATACCCATTCTATTGCAGTGGGTCAGTGCCGTGCCCTTGTGTTGCCTCAATCAAATTGGATTTGTTTGACAGGGAGAGGGAGAAGAAGAGAATGGAGGGTGAAATGCAGCAGCAGCAGCAGCAGCAGCGGCGGTGGTGCGGAAATTGAGAAAGGGGCAGTGAATTTTGGGCCGGGGAGCCCAGTGAGGGCAACCAGCATACTGGTGGTTGGTGCGACGGGAACCCTGGGAAGGCAGATTGTGCGGCGGGCCCTTGACGAAGGCTACGACGTTAGGTGTCTGGTGAGGCCCAGGCCCGCTCCTGCCGACTTCCTTCGCGACTGGGGAGCAACCGTTGTCAATGTAAATCTATTTATTTTTCTTCTGTTGTTGTTACTGTTACTGTTACTGTTACTGTTACTGTTACTGTTACTGTTACTGTTACTGTTACTGTGTTCTAATTACCCTTTGCCAGGCTGACCTGAGTAAACCAGAGACCATTCCTGAGATCGGAA